TTAGCAAGACTTTTGTTTTGATGTTCTCATTTTATTCTCCAGATCCCCAAATACTCCCATTTAAGGCACTCTGAGGAACTGAAACTGTTTGTATCTGTGTCTACCACCTGCCCAAATGCTTTCAAGAGAGGGAATTTCAAACAAACAGCAGCAGGAGGTACATAAGTAGAGAATTTAAAATGAACTGACAAGGGTCTCTTATCGATTATTTTGATAAAAGCAACTTCTGAGAGTATGCTGCACTCCTTTATGTCTTAGGCCACCAAGCAAACGAGTTGTACTAAACAATGATCTGTACTGAATACTCTGAATATATTTTACAGTTCTTGTATACGTCATGAATTCAATGCTGGGTATTTTTTCAAATTACTTTTCCTTTGGAAAGAATTCTAATTTTAAAAAAGAGAGGGAGAAATACGCTCTAAGTCTAAACTCCTTACTAACATGTTAATTACTTTTTAAAAATCATGGTTCTGCTATTACTAAACGAGACGTTACATTCTCTGCTTTCTCCAATTCCCTGCACCCAGAAATTAGTTCTGAATAGAATTAACCAGAAAATGATAGAGATATGGATCTTTGCTGACAGTTCTAACATTGTAGTTGCTAATCACATCTGCAAACAAATTTCCAGGTTCCTCACCCCTTCCGCAAATAGCCCAGGTAAATAAAGAACACAGACCTGGGAGGTCCAGGGAGAGCAGAACAGAATGACCTTCCCTTTGTTAAACTGGGGGGTGAGTTTTTATGGACTATCTCAAACCACTGTGTCTTCCACAGTGCCTCAAAGCAGGATAGCAGTGTCTGATAATAATGAGTTCAGGGAAGATAAGCTGTACTTAGACACCAGAAAAAAAGATTTCCCAATGTTGATTGTGTTTTAGTAAAGAATTAGAAATTTGAGTTTTGGTAGACATTGGATGGGTCTGATTTTCAAAGAAAAAAAAAATGTAGCCTCTGCACTTTAATGGTAAAGAATCGAACAGAATCATCCCCAATAACTAAGGAGCTAATTTTTGAACAGGCGCTCATATGCACACCTTCCACTGGCAGTATCATTGCCTCAATGACAACAGGGTACCAGCTCAAATGAATTCTTCTATTAGCCTCTTTCTAAACACATCCTTCTTCCAGTTCCAAGAGTCACTAATGCCACCCACTAGTAGCATTATCTGGATGATCTGAAAGCCATGAAACACACAGGGAAGACAGTCAGTATGAATGGCGTGGTTTCATGTGCTCTGCTCTTCATGGATTTATCAACAGAGGGTTAAAAGTGTGTTAATAGAGGGTTAACAATGGTTAGTTAACTGCCTCTCCTCTCCTTTAAGTGCTGTTTGGGTACAAACTACACTCATGGCCAGTTTGTTGACTTATCTTTGGCATGCGTGCATGCATATAAGACAGGAGAAACCAGAAATGACAGCTCAGAAAACCATGATACTTTTCAGACAGAACATCTGATGCCGAGAAAAGTATCACCTACTCATTATTCATTTAAACTCAAACAAAGGAAGCTTTTTCAAAAAAGTCTCTTTCTAAACAGACCTCATCATTTTTAATCCAATTGCTATAGATTTTTCTTCCTTGCTTGCTATTTTTTCATTCGTTTTTTTGTGAGCAATAGCTACTTTTCATTTGGCAAGGTGAACAAGTTAAGGAGAATGAAAATACAGGAACTGCATGAGGATATAAAAAAATTAAGCACAATGATAATATACCAAGAAATCAACAGATCTTAGAGTTTTGACTGCCTTATCTTGCCTGGGTCTTTGGAGCAACCAAAAAGACCTAGATTTAAAAAAAAATACTCCATGTTTTAGAGTTCTAATCTAGGGGCTACACGAGAGAGAAATTTCAATGGTTAGTCAATGGCATCCAAAAGCCTTGAACTGACAGAAACAATAAAAATCAGCTTCAATGGAAGTACCTTAACTACTAATCTCAACAAAATAGAGAATGACTGCTGTAAATCAGTAATATAAAAGCAAACAGATGCTAGCCTAATATTTCCAATCTATTCCCATCATCTTTTTGATTGGATACATTTTTAAATAGCAGAAGTCCAGTCCTAATTTTGTGTCAGCTATTGTATAGGAAACTTTGCTTAAATTTTTGCTAAGGAAACTGCTTAAATTTTGCAGGATTTTCAGATTTAGGAGTCTGAATAGTTCTACTAGTCGAATATTTTTTTGTGTAATTTTCTGTCAGTTGCAGCAAATGGCTTTCCCTAGAAAGCACACAGTCTGGAGGTTATGACAGCCACTTCTAAACAAAGTAAAAGGGGTTAGTGAAGAGGATTTTCCATATCCAACAGGAACACTGACAGCTATGCTTCTAGCAAGACTAGCTCTATGGAAAGCATTTGTCAAACTGAGACACCTGAACACTTCCATGTCATTAGCTCTTCTTTTAAGTAAGAAAAAAAAAAAATCTGGCTATTGGAAATGAGGGAATCTGTGATATATTCCACTTTCTGTGGCCCAAACAAAAATTATTAACATGCCACTGTCTTTGCTCAATTTCACAACAGAATTCTCTAATTCTGGGGACCACAATAGTTGTGTTACTTGTTTCTTGAATGTGTTGGATACTGGCCACACTAAAATAACATCACAATACATACGGACACTTTTGGAAACATTTCCATGTATGAAAAGCAGTAAAAGTCATCCAAAAGATACAGGAGACTTAATAAGGTTTAGACAAATCCACTCATGAACATGAAGGCAGGCTGCAGTAAAGGTCAGAAGGCAATCTGAAAAAGTATGTTGGGTCTAGGTAGTGGGGTGCGTATGCATGCTTATGTGTATGATTTTTAAGTGTCTTTAACATACCAGCAGCCCAAAGTTCAGCTTCTTTTCCAGTTTACTTAATTAATTTTTCAATTGCCTATGGATTAGGTGATTGCCACTGAAACATCCTCTTCAACCCTCTTCAGTGACACCCTATTGAGAAACTCTTCGTGTAGCGTTCCATGACAGGAAGAATGATTCTGAACATTATTTTTCTCAGCCACTTTCCTTAATTGGGAATGCCAATTTTAATCAAAGTTTTTATGCTGTACTGCAAGATGAATTTAAAACATATGACTTAGAAAATACTAAAATTTTGCTCTTAACATTCTGTAGTCCTACCTTCTTTGTCCTCATTCCTGACATATCTTAAGCCAATTTTTGTGGTGTGAAGCAGATATTTTTTAGTTGTATTTTTATGCCCAGTCAGACATGATATAGAAAGAATATATATGATCCTGGATCTCTCCCCCAAAAAAAGCATATGATATTTCATTGTTGCAAACCCTGGCCAGTGTCCAGACCTTGGTCTAGTTTCCAGTAAAATTTTCATTTACAAGTCTTAAGGCATTACTACCACATCTGTAAATTTCAGAAGAGACTCCAAAAATTCCATAGTTAAGAAAACCATATGCCTTCTCATCTTTTGGGGTGATTCAATCCAAGTCAGTCTCCTGGATTAACTTGCTTCTACAGGTAAACAGAAGATTTAGTTCAAATAATCTGAGTTTGGTCCATATGGAATTATCATTATTATTTGCAAGACCTCTTTTTATAGAAAAAATTATTTCTTCATACTTACTGGCTTTCTCATTATTCTTCATATGATGCTTTCATCTTAATTCAGAGCTCACATTATTAGAAGCAGGATGGGCATCACCTAGTGCAATAAACACTAATAATGCAAATAATAATTAAATGCTAAGTGAGAAACAATAACTAAACTCTTATCTTGCACATTCCAATGTGCACTGCATTCAGATAGCTACTAGACCTACTACCAGGCATGTAGGTGTGTCTCCTTTTTTTATTTTTTTTTTTTAATCCCAAATAAAAAAGAAGTTTCATTTTATTCAACTGGGAAACACTCTTTTGGTTTTACTTTTCAGTAAAACATGATTATCTCAGGCCAAACCTAAAAGTGTTTTGGTTTGTCTGCCAAAACTAACTCCAAAACATTTTACAAGAAAATTTGCTATATTACAGTTAAGTGGTATTTACAAACCCAGCCTTCAGTTAGTGTTTACTGCACCTCATAGAAACATCATTAACACAAAGTAAGGAAAGGTAAAGGGCTGAATCTCTTCCAGGGTACCAAGTCACAACAACATTTCTTGCTCGTGATTAACATGCTGTTCTGCATGACAGTAATTTATGATAGCAGATGGATCAGTGTGGCCGTGTTGCATTGCCTTTCCTGAAAGAATTCATGTTAGAGTAGGATCTTCAGACAAAAAGGAGATTAAGTCAGCAACTCACTCACCTGGGTAAGGGCTAATTTTCCAAAGAGAAACTCTTTTGAGTTTCAGAAAGATCTTGGCACTCTTAGCTATAACTAGCATGGGAAAATTTTCAGCAGTTTTATTTTGTTGGTTTTGTAAACTGACCTATGAAACTTTGCAGTTCCTTTCGATTATGTCACTGAGTCACTGGTATGACATTTTTAGCAACAGTCTGTTGTAGAAGCCAAGCTCTTCAGACTATTTCCTTCTCCAAGTCATTACATGGATTAACAGATTGAAGCAGTTCTTTGTCTAATAACACAACAGATTCTATTGGAACTTTTGACAGCTATGAAGAAATTAAAACTGTATTTTTAATTCCCTCTCTCCAACTTACTGGCAAGCCAAAAGCTTACCCATTAAAGCACCACAAGCACTTTCACAGTTGATGTGTAAAGAAAACAGCTATTTATTAGACTTGTTTTCTGTAGTATGTACAAACAATATAGAGAGTGACAAAGCGCCTTTGCATTGCACAAACACCAAGAGAGTGAAAAGAAAATGAAAACAAGGCATAAAACAAAGAACGGATGTGTACAATGGAACAGGCACAAGTTACTTTTTTGTTGCTTTTCTTTTTGTGCTAAAAATAGAACACAATGCTTATCTTTGTGTAGAGACTACTCACCAAAGCCTGAATAAACCGGAGGTTAAGAATATCAACATCAATGAAATTCTTTCCAATTTTCAGTTCTTTATCTAGACTCAACGTCTCCTAATACTACTTTCTTCAGAAACTGAGTCCACGCCCAGCAAAAAAATCCGGCAGAAATGCTCTTAAGTAGACACTGTAACAGAGAAATGATCAGACTTAGTCCTAGCTAGCTATCATAGTTAAAAGTGCCATTAAAGAAAAATGTGAGACGCTGAAGCTAAGAATTTTGACAATCAAACCTTCACTAACTTTGAAGCTTTTTAAATTCCTTGTAAAAGCTCTTGTAAAAGGCTGAACAACTTTCTACAATAAAGTTTCCTAGCAATGAAACATAACATCACCTGGAGTTACTTGGAATGTACAATAATTAGCGACAAATAGAGAATAGTGCACATCCAGTGCAGTTCAGTTTGGGAGTTTTCTTGCCAGAATCACCATTCACTTAACGAAATTAAATATGCTGTTTGTATCATGTCTTATCATTATACTAAAATAAAACCTTGAATAAAGTTTGTAACAGGACTGACGTGGCAAAAATACAGTCTGATCTAAAACCAGCATGCTTTGACATTAGGGTTCTTTGTAGTGTGCATTATGAGATGCTACTACGGCAAATATATAAATATGGGAGTTTCCCATCACTAAATATGCTTGCAGGATAAAGGTTCATCTGTAAATGTACCAGAAGTACCTTGAAAATTATCAAAATCTTATCAAGACAACAATGTCATAGAACCTCAGGATACATTTGCAGACATAATACAGAAATGAGTATGATTTTAGATGTTTTCCAAAAGCAGACATAAGAGTTGTGATGTACAAAAAAAAGCTAAATGTGCTGACTTAGAACATAAAATACAATACAATATTTCTAAAATTAATGTTATATTAAGGATCTTTTATGCAAGAAAAATATAAGAACTAAAATTTAACTAATGTGAGTTCTGTTCTAACACAGATAATTTTAACTTCTTTCTCAGTGAATAAAATACTTCATTTTCACCTCCAAGAATATTTCATGATTTGTTAGGTCTAATTAAAACAAAAGCCTCCTCCCTGACCATTTTAGTGGTGCTGCTGAGCAGCTGTCGCAGCTTAAATTGGTATCACCTGAACTTGGTAATAAGAGCTATGCGCACTATTCTGTATGTGGTTAATAAGTGCCAATAAGCACTAACATTCTCTCTTCCTACCGAAAACATCTTCCTGATTCATCTTGGAATTATATTTTCCTTTCTCACAGCCAAATCACAGTGGTGACTCATAGTCAGTTTTGTTATTGATTACTACAGTCAAGACTTTTTACCCTTGTGTCACTTCCAATTTATGAGCCCCATTTATAGAGAAATTCCTATCAACTCTATGACCTTGCTCTTCATGGTATGAGATTTCTACCCATTTCTGTTGCTGTATTTTCAAGGTCATCTAGCTCTTAGTGTTTAACATTTTGGTCTCCTCAGTATTTGCAAGTGCCTCCCAAATTTTGTCAGTCTCGTACCTTTCCTGCCTACTTCTTCAATGAAAATATTAAAACAAAATTAGCCAAAAAACAGTCCCCAAGGAATTGCATTAGCAAACTCTCTCCACTCTAAGTTTCCTTTCCAACACAAAGAACTGTAACCTCTCATTTGCCTAGTTCATCACACTCTAGCTTTTCTTCTACTAATCCCCATCTTTTTCTAGCTTAAGTAGCAATTTATTTATGGATTATTTTCAGATAAATAACATAAACAGTCTGAAGTCTTATTAGAAAGAAACACCAGGCTTACACATCACAATGTGCTTTTTGTAAGCTTCTGCTTTACTTTACTCCTTTTTTCAGCAATTTCTCTATATTCATGTTTTTCCTTCCAAGTTCATAATGTTGATAAGACCACAGGTCACCCTGCCCCCACTTTCTTAAATACAGATACCATCCCAGGTGCTTAATAGACATTTCTGAAAATGCTGCCCTATATGTACCAAGCTAATTTATCTAAAAATGAAACCACTGAAAATATTACAACTAGAACAAGAACATTTCATCTTGCATTTTTAGAGAAAAAGTATAATTTACGATGTGGTCTAATAGCTTTAAGCAGTCACCTAAGTCTCTAAGCAGAGTTATAACCCTGAATAAAATGGTTATTTTCGTGTAATGATGCTTGCTCAGCAATTACTAGCAAATGCACATTAGTAAAATATGCCCTGCAGAGTTAATAGCCTATGAATATGCTTGCCTGTGCATGGACTAACATTGTAAAGTCACAACACCTGTACTATGTTTTTGCAATACTTACACATTCTATAAGGGCCCATAGCAATAAGATCAGTATTTCCTGGGTAATTGTTATTCTTCAAATAGATGGACTCAGAGATACATCTAGACCATCTCAAACTTGAAAGAAATAACTTTTTTCATAGAATCATAGAATGCTTTGGGTTGGAAGGGACCTTTAGAGGTCACCTAGCCCAACCCCCCTGCAGTCAGCAGGGACAGCTTTAACCAGATCAGGTTGCTCAGAGCCCCATCCAACCTGACCTGGAATGTTTCTAGGAATGGGGCCTCCACTACCTCCCTGGGCAACCCGTTCCAGTGCTTCACCACCCTCATTGTAAAAAATTCTTCCTTATATGCAGTCTAAATCTATTCTTCTTTAGTTTAAAACCATTACTCCTTGTCCTGTCACAACAGGCCTTGCTAAAAAGACTGTCCCCATCTTTCCTATAGGCCCCCTTTAAGTACTGTAAGGCCTCGATAAGGTCTCCCTGCAGCCTTCTTTTCTCCAGGCTGAACAACCCCAACTCTCTCAGCCTGTCCTCGTAGGAGAGGTGCTCCAGCCCTCAGATCATTTTTGTGGCCCTCTTCTGGACCTACTCCAACAGGTCCATGTCCTTGTGCTGAGGGCCCCAGAGCTGGATGCAGTACTCCAGATGAGGTCTCACCAGAGCAGAGCAGAGGGGCAGAATCACCTCCCTCGACCTGCTGGCCACACATCTTTTGATGCAGCCCAGGATACGTCTGGCCTTCTGGGCTGCAAGTGCACATTGTTGGCTCATGTCCAGCTTTTCATCCACCAGTACCCCAAGTACTTCTCAATCCCTTCATCCCCCAGCCTGTATTGGTATCAGGGGTTGCCCCGTCCCAGGTGCAGGCCCTTGCACTTGGCCTTGTTGAACTTCATGAGGTTCAACAAGGCCAAAGGTTTGGGTTTTGACCCGAAATGTACAGCTTAGGCCCACCTGGAGTAGGCAGCAACTATACATATCTAGAGTTTCAATCTTACTAGTTTACTTTGTTTTATGAACTGTGTTTCACTATAACTTCTTCAGGTTTTAGATGCCATCCTATTATGACTGTTGCTATGAATTTAATTTCAGAGGCACTGGGATCACAGAGTCAGCATGCTAGAACAAAGAAAGATCAGCAAAACTTAGAAACCAAATTTCGACTCTATACAGATACAACTGAAGAAGGCTGTCAGATCTTTTATAATCAGTTGGAGACTCTTGACAAATGCAGTTTCAACGCCTCTCTTCCTCTGGTGATGATAGTCCATGGCTGGTCGGTATGAACTCACATTTTATTTTTAATTCAAATTACATCTGATTTGATATACTTTCCTCCTCATTATGCTAGTGCCAAAAGTAACTTCAGAAGAAAGGCTGTGATTAGAAAGATGGTGGATTTCCCTGATAACAATCATGGCTAGAAATAATACGAAGTGGATATTACCCACTGAGATTCTGAAGTAACAGTTTACAAGCAATTTTTCATATGGGAGTCCCGTCCCAAGGATTAGATTCAGCCTGGTTTAAAGCCAGCAGAGTTCAAACAAGTAGCTGAATTAATGTGCTATGCCTCTGGAGGACCAAATAGCAGTTTCATTTCTCCGATATGTTCACTGCCAGATATTTGCAGACTTATGGAAAAGAAGTGCACACAATCTCCCCACATCTTTCTTACAGATAACACCTTTAAAGAGAACTTCTCTGTAAGCCCCTTCAGCTGAAAATGAAGCCTTCAACATAATGAGTTATAACTGAACTGCTTCCAGTTAAACTGTAAAAAAAAAAAAATTCCATCATGAAAACCTTTCTCAAAAAGCACAGCAGTACTAAAAGAGTGACTTTTGATCAGCTTCTCAGTTGAAAAAGAAACAAAAGAAAAGATAAGAAATAATGTCATTTTAACAGATCCTTGGTTCTCATAGAACCAATGTCATCACATAAGGTGGCAAAACATATCTTTCTTGAACATCTGCAAATATGCAGAGAAACTTTGAACAACAGCCTTGATGCATATAACTTTCTTAACAAATAACAGCAGAGCTAGCTTTGGATGAAATATTGCCCTAGATTACTTTAGCTAAGCCTCCCAAATAAGAATTTGTTCAAAACCAAAACCATCCTCAAATACAAACCACAGACCTGAAGCTGCTGCTATTGAACTTTATCATTCATATTAACTTAATTTGCAGAGGTGTTGGTCTCTTAGAGGAATATGTATGGAAACCCAGAACTGAGACTCCCAAATTCTGCTAAAACACCAGAAGAGATAAGGATGTTCTATCAATTGAGGACATACATGCAACTAGAGCAACAATTAAATCTGACAGATAAAGTAATAATACTGGTCCCTCAAATCAGAAGCAGTCTTTGATGATAATGAAGAAATCGTGATCAGGTCCTTAAAAAAAGAATGACTCAAAAAAAAAAAAAAAGCTGATCTCAAAATGGAACAGCTGTAGAAGGTAAATGCCTGCAGGTCTGCAATCCTCCAGCTTCCCTCCCTCTCCAACTCTTTTAGCTTAAATTTACAGGGACAGCTGCTCTTGAATGAAATTAGAAATTTTCTGGGCAATTCTGTCTTTCTTTTTAATCAGCAATATCAATTATCTCAGGATGAGTGAAAATATTTCAGGACATCATTTCACTGATAAGAGTTCCTATCACAAGACAAATTATTATACAGTTCTTATATTGATTTTTAATTTTTTTTGTCCACCAAAACCAGATGATTCTCAGCACTGAAGCATGCTGAAGCCCCTAAAATCTAGTCCTAATTAGTCCTAATTTAGTCCTAATTTAGTCCTAGACTAAAATTAAGTCCTCCTTGTTTATATTATGTTTTTTGTTTCCTTGAGCTTTTCACAAGAAATATTTGGCAGACACTGCTTTCCCTTAAGAATGTTTTGTGGGGTTTTTTTTGTTTCGTTGGTTTTTTTAATAAAACAGGTGGATGGCGTGTTAGAAGGTTGGATTTGGAAAATGGCAGCAGCTCTGAAGTCTCAGCATAAACAAATTAATGTGATCATTGCAGACTGGCTTACATTTGCTCACCAGCACTATCCCATTGCTGTACAGAATACACGCTACATAGGACAGGAGATAGCAGACTTCCTGGAATGGCTAGAGGTAAGACCCACAGATCAACACGTTTGTCTGGAAAAGACCTATTTACCTGTTCTTATGCTTCTACGACTTTTCTGAAATACTGTGCTGGTTAATGCTGTTCATTTCAATCACTTACATTTAATACACTGCAAATTTCTCTTCCATTAACTTTCATATGACTTCACAAAACTTTCATCATGCAAGAGAAAAAAAAAACCAAGTGGTCTTGTTTATTAAAATATTTTTATATCTCTTTAGAGGTAAGATAATTTCATGCTACTTTAGCTTTTCAATTAGCATGTGTGCAGACAGCTGAAAGTCCAACACTTTGAAAGCAGGCACACATTATCATACGAGAGGAAATTGCCTCAAGTTGTGCCAAGGGAGGTTTAGGTTGGATATTAGGAAAAATTTCTTCACGGAAAGGGTTGTCAAGCATTGGATATCAAGCTGCCCAGAGAAGTGGTTGAGTCCCCACTCCTGGAAGTATTTAAAAGATGTGTAAATGTGGCGCTTAGGGACATAGAATCATTTAGGTTGGAAAAGACCTTTAAGATCATCCAGTCCAACCATTAACCTAACATTACCAAGTCCACCACTAAACCAATTAAGGGTAAACTAGACTAAACCATGTCCCAAAGTGCCACATCTACCCGTTCTTTAACGCTTCCAGGGATGGTGACTCCACCACCTCTCTGGGCAGCCTGTTCCAATGCTTGACCACCCTTTCCGTGAATAAATTTTTCCTAATATCCAACCTAAACCACCCCTGGCACAACCTGATGTAGTGGTGGACTTGGCAGTGTTAGGTTCGTTGGACTCGATCTTAAAGGTCTTTTCCAATCTAAATAATTATATGATTCTATGATTTGCAAGTGGTTAGTTCAGTAAAATGGGTTTATGTTATCTGTGCTTAATTTCTGCTTTTAATGCAGAATTCAAGCATGACATATGATTGTGCCTGATTTTTGCCTCAGTTCCCCAAAGATTATTCTGAAATAATGGCTTAGAGATCCAGAATGTAAAGGGAGACCTTTTAAGAGGACAGACATGCCTCACAAAGCAGATGACATGGAGGCAGTAGTGAGTACAGAGCCATGCTAATGTAGTGACTACTTATCAAAACTCTTGCTATGTAGGGAGCAGTGGCCATGGCTGGACTGAAAAGGCTGCAGACAAGTCTGCAAGGGATCACTGGTCTCCAACACTATTTAAGAAAAGGCAGAAAGCAAACACTAGAATGAGAATCACTCATACAAACCAGGTACCCTTAGCAACTCTTATTTCATCTCTCTCTAGTGCTAATTTAAGCTACCTAATTTGAAATGAAATTTTACTCCTGCACCTCACAATGAATTTTTGAATACATTAATTTAAATATGGTGAGGCCTAAGCTGGAAGGGAAATACACTGCAAAGCTGAAAGTTTTGTAGCAAATACCATTGAATGGATAAGCTGCTTTGCACAGGAATGGCAGGGCTAGAAGGAATTGTCAGTTATCATGCCCAGTTAGGGACAACAGGCACAAAAGAGAAGGCAGAAGAACCAGAGTCACTATTCTTCGTTGTGACATTACAGGAAACCTGAGCTCTTGGTCAAATGTAGTTTAAGTTGCTGGAGCCTAAAGACGTATCTTGAAGCTGTTTAATTATTGAATGAATCAAACGGTGAACTTTGTTCAGTTCCCAGGAGGACACACCACATTGTCAACAATAAAGACAGTCTGGTTCCTCCAGTGTCAGCAAACAAATCGAGGCTTGAATAAATGACTCCTTGCTCCAGCGTTGTAGGTAGCTTCTCTTGTACCATGATATATATGTTCCAGGATTTAAATATACCATAAATTTTCAGAGCATTCAATTGAGCGTGTTCAAGCAGTAAGCTTTCCTTCTGTTGAAAAGCACCCCTCCTGGGTTTAACAGTTAAAACCCCCTTCATTCCAACTCCCATAACTATCTTTCTGCTATGCTTCTGTCTGCTTACAAGCAGGTGAGTATTTGAAATATCCTCAACGTATGTAAGAAAAACTGCAGTGCTGTGCAACATTTTAATGAAGAATAAAAATAAAGAAAATCTTAGCACTCTTAGTCTAAGAGTTAATAGGGCATGATCAGTAACAATCTCAATAGCACCCATCTCAATAACACTTGCCAAGAAAAATGGTCAGATCTTGTGATTTCTAAGAGCCACCTCTCTCAAAAGAAGGTTGCCAAGTTTCACCTCATCTTCACAAGAGACAGGTGTCAAGACTGCAAAGCACTCCACTGGGACAGGCAATATCCACAATGAAATTACAACAGAGGAGAGTTGCCTTTCCTGCAAGAAAAATATGCCACATTTTTCTTTACAAGTCAAAAAAAACTTAGAGCCTTCTAGATCAGGTAAAATGTTTAAGATCTACATAGTGTTGATTAGTTAGAAAGAAGGGTCTGAGGCCGATTCTGCTTCAGTAGGTTTGTTTCAGATCAGATACTCAGTTTTGTACAAATCAGTCCAAGAAATGTCACTGCTGTATCACTTAGCATGTGTGATCAATGTTTTGATACTTTGGCTTCTAATTCGGCTTGTGCTAGTATCTCGGGCAAAAAAAAGCAAGGCACTCTCTGTAAAGGATTGTTTTACACTGAAGTTAAAGGACAGATATCCATTTTCTAGTCATAGGAAAGTCAAATGCTGCAGACAAAAGGTAACACACATTTGCGTCACTTGCAACAAACAGCAACAAAAATCCTATCTGTGCTAATGGTTTTCCTGAGCATAGCACGTAAGTAGCAGTGCCCAAATGTGTGACATTTTCCTGCAGCATGAAAAGAAGGCAAGGAATAACATTCAGCCAGCGAAGAAATTTAGTGCATGATCCACATGCCTCATGTGACCTCCATCATCAACATACAAATGTCTTGTGTTCTAATTCATGGCATTCCCAGCTTGTAGGAAGTATTTCACTGTTTACTTTTCACATTTTCTGCATCTAAATCAAGCTGCTGCTGTCTTCCAGGAATCCATTCAATTTTCCAGAAGCAATGCTCATCTAATCGGGTACAGCCTAGGAGCTCATGTTTCAGGATTTGCTGGAAGTTACATCAGCGGTACGAACAAGATTGGAAGAATTACAGGTAAAAGACTTGTAACTTTAAGAAATGTAACAATGAACTGATTTCAGTTACATAGATACTTGACATATCAATGTCATATCAAAATTTAGCTGTTGAATAGCATTATTTGCCACAGTTGAGAAGTTTCATCCCATTGGTTTAGAAATTAGATTTAGAAAATTTAATGAAAACACTTCAAAATGAAGTATCATAGTATTTCTAGCTTTGATCTTTCCTACCTCAGTCCAAATTATGACATACAGAATATAAAAGCATGGGGACTACAAATCATAACCCAAATACTCAAGTTGCGTCTTGCTTGCATTTATCTTGTATCCATTCCCAGTAACACCTTAAAGTAAAAGTTAGCCCACTAACCTTGGGTCTTTGGTCACTATCTTGACCCAAAGCCATTCAAATACACTGTTCATTGTTAGCAACTCATTTTAAAAAGAAAATTACATTAAGGAAATGGTCTAACTGTGCTTGAGCTTTCAATGGTGGTACCATTGCTCATACAATGAATTGAAGTCAGTTCTCCTGTGGCAAAAAAGATAGTTCCGGATTACATTTTACAAGCAGCATGTCATTAGAGTATCCCTAATAGATGCTGAAAGTAAACAAGGTTAAACATAACACTTGATTGTTTTGATTAGTGGCATTTTGAACCTTCTGTAATGTTTTGTAACTGTACTAATTATGAGTGTAATGAAAATACATTTATAAGGTTATTGCTACACTGTATACAGTGCCACATTTAATGCACAGTGACAGCTTAAAAAAAACCCCATGAAACCAAAACAGAAGTGCATTTTACACAAGGCCCACATCAGCTATGTTTAAGTTATCAGAGAAAACATTTTAATCTGATTTGGGAGTGAGGCAAATATGCATGACTGTAGTTTGAAGTCCCAATTCTGATCTTTGATTCATTGCCACATACCATAGTTCCTTATACAATCAGCTCTTGTGACAGTGCCTGCATGCCAAGAAGCTGATTTTACACAATGTGTCATGATATTACACCTGTATATACATTGAAGGACTTTAGTTCATCAGCGCTGCTTGTTCAAATGGTATTAGTACATCAAACCTCGATAATGGATAAGTAAAAAACATTAAACCACATTATTTGTTGTAACAGCTATGTGCATTCTTCATTAAAAATTATTCAGTCTTGTAACAATAAGCTCAAAAAATTAATAGTGATAAAAACTATTCAAAATAAAAGGAAATGTATGTCTTCAGGGTGACATCCCTACTTGTAACCTGTGCTACTAGTCTTGTCCAGTTACATCTATGCAACTACATTAGTCCCTAGTACCAACTGAAGAATCCCAAATTTAGAAGCTTGTCCTCAAAACTGAAAGCAGCTTTAAACTATGCAGGCAGTCCTTTTCTATAAGTTGGTTACCAGCCAAAAAGAGCACCATACAAAAATATCTAGCAAACTAAAAATCAGCAAGAGTTCCTAAGTGGAATATTATTTTTCTGAATACCATAATAATTTTCCTTGAAGACTTTTAAAGTTGAAAAATTATTATAAACAACATCTAGCAGACATATAGCTCTTTCAAGCAATAAAAGAAGCTTTATAAAGTTTTAGGTCCCAAATGTGGGCTAAAAGTCAGCTTTGTTGTGGAACTGTTGTCTTCAAAAGGGCCTCTGAAATGCATGACCTCTAGAGTATGAAAGAACAAAATTAAGTAAACATCCCTTAAGCGACAAAGCAGTAGCAAGCATGGTTTGTCTATAACAAACACATCTATCTCTGGGTCTGTGTCCTTGTGCATGTAGCCATTACTGTTTATTACAGCACCTGTGTTTACTTTACCTTTTGGTGTAACCACATACCCTCTGCAGAACAAGTGTTCCTAGCATTGTTTCTATGAGTGAAAGACCTTGTAAAGTACCTGTGCTGTCTGCTTTTAAATATTTATCACAGACTTTTCTCATAACAGTAGAAGAACAGCCCATCTGCACTATATCCCAACTGGATTATTTGTATTTATTGCAGGCCTTGACCCTGCTGGTCCCTTGTTTGAAGGAATGTCACCAACAGACCGTTTATCTCCAGATGATGCAAACTTTGTAGACGCAATTCATACATTCACTAAACAGCACATGGGTCTCAGTGTTGGCATCAAGCAGCCTGTGGCCCATTTCGACTTTTATCCCAATGGAGGCACCTTTCAGCCTGGCTGTCACATCATGCATGTGTATAACCACATCGCACAATACGGAATCACTGGTAAGAACCAATGGCAGAAAACAGGAAGCAGCATTGCAGCTGCACCGACAGTATCTCTGGGAAACTTCGCAGATCTCTATGGTCTTAAATAGTATCTAATGGGAGTATTATCTCCCATTATATGCAAGGAAATTTATTTTCTAGAAATTGGTTATCTGATTTTTACATGTATTGAGTTCAAACTGTTCTTGCTGACTCCAGTAAGGAATTTGGCTGCCTAGCACTTCTGAAAATGAGGCCATGAGCATCGTGCTGTCAAACACTTCTGAATAATTTCAGAAGTATTTGTTTTAGCAGTAGAGGAAATGAGAAAACTTATTCTAATTAAGCCAGAATCATCTAGTGTGCAATTAATTATTTCAAATCAAATAAAACACAGGGCTGTACTACTCACCTCCTCAGTTCACCTTTTTGCAACTCCCTGTCCTTCAGCTGCGCAGATGATGCTCTCTCTAGGACCTGACTGCCAGTGTTCCAGGTTAGGTTTTATATATAGAAGCTTATTTCCAATGTACCTAAACATAAATGTATAGAGAAACTGATGCAACATACTGAAAAAAGATAAGGTACTGATGCACAGTGACAACCAGAACTGTTCACTGGAAAACCCCAAGTGTACTGTTCACCCAGCATACTGCATTGCAAAAATATTTCTCAACTATCATCATGCTATCTAAAAGTAGGCCTTACTTGTTAGCAGATAATTCATGACAAATGTGAAACCAAGCATCAGCTAGAAAGCTTATCAGTGAAGACATATAGAAGTAGTCCATCATGATATATCCTGATTACACAGAAGAAAATAACTTTCGTAATTTGATGACACAGCACAAAGATACTTACTTCTCATAAAAGCAGATCTATGCATTTAATAATTTTTAATATATTTAATACACTTTTTGCTCCTTTTTCCCCAGTAGTAGCTGTGAGCAAAATCCAATTCAAAATAAGAGTTTGTCACTCTGACAGGGACAAAATACGACATTACCACATAAGCATCCAAAAGACAACAGTGTTCAGCCATTCAGAATGAGGCTGCTGTCTTTAATGTGGCATGATCTGAAAGTCTGCATATAGCCTCATATCATATTTCATACTGACCAAAACAGCCAGGACAATGTAATCAAGGTTCATATTTAGCCTTAAACAGTCAGGCTAGAGAAGTTTAAGCAGCAAATTATTCTATTTTATTACCATGTAGGCTCAGCCAAACCATTTTTGGATGATCCTAAAAGTAAAGTTGCTACAATATATGATTTCTGAGGCAAAATTATGATGTTTTAGTAGTAAAGGGGGTGGGGGCAAAACAATAGCATATGTTTATAGTTGGTTACTGTACTCTTCTGCAGTCAAAATGGTAAAGAGAAACAAGGGCATGCAAAATTTTGTTGTTTGCATTTTTTCAGGCATCACACAAACTGTGAAGTGTGCCCATGAGAGGTCAGTTCATTTGTTCATCGACTCTCTGCTTCACAATGATAAGCAAAGCACAGCATACTGGTGCAACGACATCAACACTTTCAACAAAGGAATGTGCCTCAGCTGTAGAAAGAACCGGTGCAACACACTGGGCTACAACATCAGGGAGGAAAGGCTCCCAAAAAGTAGACGACTCTTTTTGAAAACAAGAGCACATATGCCTTTCAAAGGTTTGTGGGAATGCTTGTTACAGTCTCCAGATTGATCACAAAGTGCGAGAATGAGCCTAAGCTTTGTGATCCTGTTTACTCATTTATTAAAGCTTATAAAATCTACGGGACTAATCAATTTGCTAAGACAACTGAGAATCCCAATAGGCCATCTTGATGCCCTTTCAACCAAGATCCTGACTCTTAATATTTCTGTGGGGAAAAGCATGCTGCATGCTTGCCACAGGCTAACTGTGGATCTGAGGCCTCAGAGATGCTTGGGGTCCTCATCTACAGGATTTTGCTACAACTGGCCCGTGTGAGTTTGTTATAACATATGCAGGCATACAGCCAAGCCAAAAAGGCAGCATAATTGCTCTGGGAGGCCTGTAAAACTTCCTATTCCAAGTTTGCCCAAATTTTATCTGCAATTAGTCTACAAGATGACATATAAATTATTACTTTTCAAACAACGGATAGACAACAGAGTAGCATGGACTTTTTACAGGGCAGAACTGTAGCACCAAAATAAAGTGGCTGGCACTCTAGCTTTATCTCCACTAAATTACTTTATCAAGAGCACAAAGTAACAATTTTCTAAGCTCAGAGAGACAATCAATGTGGTTTCTTGCATGTATTACCAGAGAGAGGGGGAGTAGCCTGAGAGGGAAATGGGGCCTACCTGCCAGTCTCCATTACAAAATGGCCTGGGCCTGGCTGTAGGCTGGTTATGACTCAGCTGTCAGAGAGCCCATGAGGCAACTGCTACTGTTGAGCAGACATTCCCCTGCCAGTGGGAAGGTTTACGTATCTTTTAAAGTGAGAATGAGCAGGACTGTGTGGGATGAATGGCAGGGACACGCTTCTTCCGAGGGACCTCTGGTGCAGGGACTTTTGGCACATGGCATTCCTCCTCACCACCTCCTTCCCTGGCTATCAACAAGGCGTGCGGCAAGCAGCAGCGTGGCGCAGCAAGAGCAGGGCTCCCGTTCAGAGCCACAGGCCACCACACACGAAGGAGACTTATGGAGTCCTTCCCACAGGCCCCCTCAGCACCTGGGCGCCTG